AGTTTAGTGTCATCTGCAAACTTGCTGAGAGTGCAGTCCACACCATCCTCCACACGATCTGCGAATGCAGGGAGGGAGTGATCTCTGCTGCAGGGGAAGCGGAGGAGGGGCTCTCTCTGGCTGTCGGAGCCCCATGTAAATGGCACCATCCGGCCGGCTGCCCTGTTAGCCGCGCGCGCTCTGCATGGGGGGTGGGGGGAAGTCCGGACATTTACAAATTCCCCCCGGATGCTATTTTTAGCTCAAAAAGCCGGACATGTCTGGGGGAATCCGGACGAATGGTAACCCTAGCAGGGAGTGCATGTGCCATTTTATTTTGTTTTTAAAGAAAGCAGAGTCTTTGTTAAGAATTTGGACCAAATTCAGCATGGGCATGATCAGGAGTAACTTGCACTGAAGTTGGTGGGAGCCATGCCTATTTATACCATGGCTGCTTTTGGCCCTTTGTATTGAAAACACAATGCAACAATTTCAGGTAGGATGGCCAGACTCCAATGTTCCATGAAGTAATGGGTGTTAGGTTAACATTTACACCAGTATTTCACTTAGATTTCTAAATATTACAGAGCAGCTTATACAAAGTACATTTGTGAGACATGTTTTAAGTTATTTTGGGAAATAAGAATTGATAAAATGGACGCACGACAAATTAGAGCTAAAGCCACTCACTAAACTAGAGTATCTCCTGAAGCATGGATAGTCCATTTTGCCACCGCAGTTATTCCCACTTACCTTCACTGCATTGAAGCAGAAAGCATACAGTACAATCACAACTACAAAGCTTCGAGAAATACTGTAGAGGGCAGATATCAATCCAGTAGCAGCTGAAATACAGACATCAAAAGTTTGTTACTTTCTAGATGAAACAAGCTGCAACCAAAAGAAAAACAAAAAAGGATTCGCTCAACCAGAATTTAATTAATAGAAATCTTGTATCATAGTGTTATTCTCTTTCTTTGTATAAAGAAAGCCTTCAATATTTTGATCAGTTAAACAAGTTCCTCAAGAGATTAAGGGTGAAATTCTGGCCTCACTAAATCAATGGGAGTTTTGCCATTGACGTTAGCGGGACCAGGATTTCACCCTAAAGGTCTATTATTTTTTATATTTTATATTTATATGCCCTGCCAAAATGTTGCCGCCTATCCTTTTTTCATTTTTGAAGAGGAGGAAAGGAAGGATGCTGCTTTAAAACGCGTTAACCCTTATACTGCTGAATTCCATTGCAGCATTCCTCTGAAACAAAAAACAAAATGGGGGAAAAAAAAAAAGTCAGCATATTTGGTAGCACTCTCACCAGGTGAAATTCTGGCTCCATGGAAGTCGGAGCAAAACTTCCCTTGACTTTGATGGGGTCGGGGTTTTACCCAACATGTTTTGCCCTCAGATCTGCTACATTATTCAAGAGTCAAGAAGTTAAAGAAAAGCTACCACAGATGCATATGGTAGTTTTAGCCATATGATTTTTTTTTCTTATTTGAGCTGGGGGAAAGGGGGAACTACGAAATAGTCCCTTTCTCTTTTTGGGCTTATCCATACTGTACTTGAAATGATGACAGAAATCACCATGCTTCTAACATGTTTTCCCTCATGTGGAAAAGGATTTAAGTTTTACCAAGGATCATATTACACAAGCTAAAAACATTTCTATGGGAGTGGTTCATAGTCTAACACACAGTTTAAGTACTGCTGTTCTCAGAAAAAATCCTCGTCCATATGCAAGAAATCATGTGTAACTGCGTGACTGCAGGGCCGGTGCTACCATTAAGGCAAACTAGGCAGTTGCCTAGGCCGCCAAGATTTGGGGGCACCAAAAAGCGGTGCCCCCAATTTTTTTTTACAGCATTCCTGGGCTGGGCTGCCGGCGGCGCGCTGACACGTGTGGCTCAGACTCCCTCCCCCAGCGCAGTGGCCGCTCCACTTCTCCCACCTCCCAGGCTTGCGGCGCCAATCAGCTGTTTGGCGCCGCAAGCCTGGGAGGGGAGGAGAATTAGAGCGGGGGCGGCGTGCTCGGGGATGAGGCGGAGCAGAGGTGACCTAGGGTGGGGAGCTGCCACACGGGGGGGGGGGGCACATCAGGGCGGGGGGGTTGGGTTGCTGCTGCAGGGCTGGGGGGGGGGCGCAAGGTGGAAATTTCGCCTAGGGCGCGAAACTTCCTTGCACCGGCCCCGGCCCTGCATGGCTGTCACTAGCACTGTTTCAATTGTAGTGTGAATGAGGCCTCAAAATGTGCAGTACAACCCAGCTTAATTTATGGCTGTGGGCATGAACAGATGAGCTCAGGCTACAATAAACTACTTACCAGAACCACCAAAAAGCAACATGTCTATTTGTTCCAAGAGATATATACAAAAGGTGTTGATTTGAGGGAAAAGGCCAAGAAGAGAAATTGCAGGGAAGCAATACAAAAACACTGAAATTAAAACAAGATGTATGTTAGCACATATTTGAATGTCACAATAACTGAACATATTTGTATGAAAAACAGAGAGAAGTTGCCTCAAACTGAGATAAGTTACTTTTCCATTATATTTTAATGCTTTCTGCATAGATTTTGATGTTAGGAACAATGGTTACATTTTGCAGGCATTTAATTATTTAAATTTATTTATATTTAATGTTTCTCTAAAAGCAATAATAGGTAGCGCTAGCTATGAAGAATTCATACAAACCTATTTATCCTCCAAAGCATTTTATCAACATTATTTCTCACAACCGCCTGAGGTAAATATTATTTCCTGTTTTACAGATATATAAACTAATACACAAAGAGTTAAAGTTCAGTTCTACTTTGAAAAGTGACCGGGGGAAAATGGCATAATGTAGTCTCCATTTACCATTTCTCAACCACTTTTAAGATCAATTCTGTTCAGTTTAAAAGTAAAAAGGAAGCAGGATTAGTACTCAGGGTCTGTACTTCCTGTCTTGTGTTCTGATCACATCACTGCTGTCTCTGTGGGCTCAATCCTGCAAGGTACAGCGCATGCTGGCCATGATCTAGCAAAGCATTTAAGCACATGCTTAACTTTAAGCAGATGAACAGTCTCACTAACTTCAACGGGACTATTCATATGGTTAAATTTAATCACATGCTTAAACACTGTGCTGGATCCTAGCCTGAATTCTCAGCACCTTGCGCGATCAAGCCCTGTGTAAGCAACACCACTGGGATGGGTGAAGATAATCAGTGATGAGGGAAGCTGAAGCCAGACATATTCAGGTGGCATAGTAAATTTAGAGAAGCAAGAAATGAAATATTCAGAGTGCTGCAGAACAAACAAAATGAGGGGGAAAGAAACAAGATAGAAATAACAGTATGTTAAAAAAAAATGAGATAAGCAGATTCTGAAGAAGAGATTTTCTTGGTAAGACCTGGGGAAATAAAAGGAGAGGGTATGGCAAAAGAGCAGCGCATGAATTGCTGCCAACACGAGTCAAATTGAAACTGCATCATAAGGAACTAAGGAAAATATGATCTGTAGTCCATGTTAAAAAGGAGAGGGGCAACGCACGGCAGATTACAGTTTTAGTCAAAGAAAAACCAATCTGATAGTTATGTTAACAAGGCCATTGGGAGACTGTGAAAAATTGTGTTGCAAATTGCATGGATTGTTTGCCCCATTTCTTACAGAAAAATGTTCTGCTGTTCCTGGCAATTTTCCCTGTGAACAAGCATATATTTATTAGTTATACATGCTGGGCTGTCTGCATTTTTTTCTTATTTGTCCTGATAATACTTAAATCCAACAAACTGCTGACGTTTCTCTTATTTCCATACTGACTTTTAAAACAAAAACAAACATTACCAATGATATTTGTTTTCTTTGCTATATTCCAATTATCCCATTTTACTTACAGTCCTTCTTGATAATATATCTTGCTGGGTTAAAATAATGTAGCAATATGCTCTGTTAGAGCTGACTGCATATATTAATGCTTCTTCACCTATCATATTATCCTACAAGTATCTAGTTTCATAACTCCTGCTGAAGAATTCAAACACAGAAGAGATAGGACAAGCTCAGGGGTCAGACGCAAAAAAAGTATAAAAACAACGAGGAGTCTGGTGGCACCTTAAAGACTAACCATACAGACTAACATGGCTACCCCTCGGAGAAAAAGTATAAGTGCTTTAGGGTTGGTGTGACACAGCTCAATGAACTGAACACCTATGCTGGTATTTATAATGTGCCCATCACCGTGGTATCCTAGCACTAACAAAAATTGCATATACATAAAAGCATGCAGAAATATCATGTTCTCCATCTCTTGCTTGTAAATGCCATTGAGAGGGCTTACAACAGACGTGTGCAAACTACGGCTCGTGGGCCACATCCGGCCCGCGTGACCCTCCTGCCCGGCCCCTGAGCTCCCAGCCGGGGAGCCTAGTACCCAGCCCCTCCCCCGCTGTTCCCCTTCCCCTGCAGCCATTCTGCCGCGCAAGCCGCACTCTGGCCCGCTGCTCCTGCTGGGCAGCATGGGAAGTGCAGCTGGCTCTGGCCAGGCGGCTGCGAGCTCCTGCTGCTGGTAAGGGGTGGGGAGCGGTGGGGTTGGGTAAGGGAGTGGAGGGTTCTGGGGGGCAGTCAGGAAGGAGGGGGCGGTTGGATGGGGTGGAAGTTCTGGGGGGGCGATCAAAGGATGGTGAACAGGGAGGGTTGGGAGTGGGAGTCCCGGGGGGCCTGTCAGGGGGCGGGGATGTGGATAGAGGTTGGGAGGGCAGTCAGGGGACAGGGGGGTTGGATGGGTTGGGAGTTCTGAGGGGGGCTGTCAGGGGGCGGAAAGTGATAGGGGGCAGGGGCCAGGCTGTTTGGGGAGGCACAGCCTTCCCTACCCGGCCCTCCATACAGTTGTGCAACCCCGATGTGGGCCTCGGGCCAAAAAGTTTGCCCCCCCCAGCTTACAACATTTGCTACCTTTACTTCTCTCCTCTCTCCTTTTTCTAGTCATACCAAGCTATTCTTGGATTGGTATTGAGGAAAAGCAATGGTAAAGATGGCAAACTACCTAGAGTTATCTGGATCCCTCCATTTGATCACAGAGATTTTTGGTCCCCCAGACCAAACATTTCAAGATCACTTGAAATTCAGTGATTACAAGGAGGGTTTTGCAGAAGCCCAGCACTGATACGAGAAAGAGATCCTCGCTGTGAGGCAAGGGGACCACTTTATAGCTAGCTGGATATTACTAGTTTGAAGGCTAAATGATTTCTCTAACTATTGTGACCCAAGAACAGCCTGGATGGGGGCGGGGGAGTAATTAATAGGACAGGAAATAGAACTCACTGCCAATGTGTCAGAGGGGAGTGTGTGAATGAAGGGGTGTGGGTATGAGAGAGGGGGTGAGGGAGGCTGGCTGTCAAGAGCAATCTTGCCATCTCACTCCCTCTTTGATGCTCCCTGGAGTAATCCTAAAACATGTTAATCTTATCCTGTGTCAGAGAGTAGCCTGGGAAAGGGATGTTGCAAAGGCCCTTGCCTTTAAGAGGACTGGATATAGGAATTTTCTGGTTTCTCCTGGGAAGAGCAGACCATTAAGAAAGGCTAGTTACACAATTAAAGTTGAATTATGAATCCCAGAGGGGGCTGGAATACAATGCATTCTTAAAAGTACCTACCACCTTCTTGTTTAAGTAGTAATGTGTGTTTGCACATGCAACACCTCCAGCTCCGAGAGCTGGAACACTGCTATTTTCACATGAAGTTTGGAGGCTCCCTCCAATACAGTAATAGAAGGTGGGGTTTTCATATGCATTTTGATTTAAAATACCATGGTAACCAGTGGCAATTTTGGTGCAAGTATTTTTGTTTGTAATTGGTTAAAATAAAGCATGTGGTTTTATCAAGAGCTAGTATTAAAAGGCTAGTAATCCAAATACCTGGCCTGTTTGCAGGAACTGAGAGCTAATTAGCTTTATTCTAGAATAGAGGGTAGGAGGGGGGATTCCTTTGGATGAGGAATAATCTTTTCTTACAAAGGGAGCTGAAGAGAACATTCAGAAAGGCGTCCCCCTACCTCCCACAGAAGCTCAGTTATTGCTAGAGGTAACAGACATAGATAAAAGATGATCTGCTATAAGAACATCAGAATGGCCATACTGGGTCAGACCAACGGTCCATCTAGCCCAGCATCCTGTCTTCTGGCAGTGGCCAATGCCAGGTGCTTCAAAAGTAATGAACAGAACAGGGCAATCATCAAGTGATCCATCCCCTGTCATCCACTCCCAGCATCTGGCAGTCTGAGGCTTAGGGACACCTAGACCATAGGGTTGCATCCTTGACCATCTTGGCTAATAGCCATTGATGGACCTATCCTCCATGAATTTATCTAATTATTTTTTAAATCCAGTTATAAGTTTTGGCCTTCACAACGTCCCCTAGCAACAAGTTCCACAGGTTGACTGTACGTAGTGTGGAGAAGTACTTCCTTTTGTGTGTTTTAAACTTGTTGCCTGATAATTTCATTGGGTGACCCCCCTGGTTCTTGTGTCATGAAAAGAAGTAAATAATACTTCCTATTATTCACTTTCTCCACACCAGTCATGATTTTATAGACCTCTATCATATCACCCCATAGTCGTCTCTTTTCCAAGCTGAACAATCCCAGTTTTTTTACTCTCTCCTCATACGGAAGCTGTTCCATACCCCTTATCATTTTTTGTTGGCTTTCTCTGTATCTTTTCCATTTCTAATATATCTTTTTTGAGATGGGGTGACCAGACTTGCATACAGTATTCCATGTGTGGGCATACCATGGATTTATATAGAGGCATTATGATATTTACTATCTTCTCAACTATCCCTTTCCTAATGGTTCCTAACATTGCTAGCTTTTTTGACTGCTGCTGCACATTAAGTGGATGTTTTTAGAGAACTATCCATAATCACTCCAAGATCCCTTTCTTGAGTGCTAATAGCTAATTAACTCCCCATCACTTTGTATGTATAGTTGAGATTATTTTCCAATATGCATAATTTTGTATTTATCAATGGTGAATTTCATCTGCCATTTTGTTGCCCAGTCACATAGTGTGAGATCCCTTTGTAACTCTTCGCAGTCTGCTTTGGACTTTACTATCTTGAGTAACTTTGTATCATCTGCAAACTTTGCCACCTCACTGTTTAACCCTTTTTCCAGACCATTTATGTATATGTTGAACAGCTTTGATCCCAATGCAGATCCCTGGGTGACACTGCTATCTACCTTTCTCTATTCTGAAAACTGACTTTTTATTCCTGCCCTTTGTTTCCTGTCTTGTAATCAATTTCAGATCCATGAAATGTCATTCCCTCTTATCCCATCATTGCTTAGTTTGCTTAAGAGCCTTTGGTGAGAGACCTTGTCAAAGGCTTTCTGAAAGTCCAAGTACACTATATCCACTGGATCATCCATGTCCACATGTTTGTGACCCCCTCA